TGCAAACGTACCATTACCATACCCAAGAAGGACACCGACGCTATAATCATTGGCGACAACAATATCCAATAGATTATCATTGTTGAAATCGCCAACAGCTACACCTAGTGGATCTGAGCCAGTTGAATACATCATTTGATCTGCAAATGAACCATTGTTAAATCCAAGAAGAACACTAGTATTATTGCCGATAGAATTGGTGACAACAATATCCAGTCGATTATCATTGTTGAAATCACCAACAGCTAAAGTCTGTGATCCACGGCCAGTTGAATATGTCATTTGGTCTGCAAATGAACCATTACCATACGCCAAAAGAACACTGACATTGTTGTCATCACCATTGGCAACAACAATATCCAGTCGATTATCATTGTTGAAATCACCGACAGCTACGGCCTGTGGATTAGAGCCAGTTGAATATGTCGTTTGATTTCCAAATAAACCATTACCGTACCCGAGAAAAACACTCACGTTGTTGTCACCTCTATTAAGCACCACAATATCTAGTCGATTATCATTGTTAAAATCACCAACAGCTACAGAGTATGGAGAAGTACCAGTTGCATAGATTATGGGATCTACAAAAGATCCAGTATTATATGTAGTAAAGACATCCACATTATCATTGCCATCACATGCGACAGCAATTTCTGATTTTCCATCATTACTAAAATCACCAGAAACGATAAGAAATGGAGATGCAACAAAATGGAATCCATTATTTGTTTGAGTTGTAAATGTGCCTTTTGCATTTCCAATCAGCATATCGATATCTTTAGTACCATAATTTAGCACAGCAATATCCAATAGCGTGTCACCATTATAATCAGCAATAGCAATAGCTGATGGATGAGAATTTGAACCACTGATGAGCATTTTTTGGCTTAGAAAAGTATCATTTCCACTTCCAACAAGAATACCAATATCGTTGGTACCATAATTAGCTACAATAATATCGAGTCGAGTGTCATTGTTTAGATCACTAATAGAAACATATCGTAGGCTGGAAGCACCGCCAGATGCGTAACTTATATATTTGATCAAAGCTCCTCTGTTATACTGAAGTAGTATACTAACGCTATCATTAAAACCACTGAGAGCAACAATATCCAGGTGAGTATCATTGTTAAAATCACCAATAGCTAGAGAGCCCGTGCCAGGTGAAAACGCTATTTGCTGTGCGAACGTACCATTGCCATATCCGAGAAGAACACCGATGTTATCAGAATAGCCGACGACAATATCCAGTTGATTATCATTGTTGATATCAACAACAACTACATACTTTGTAAAAGAGCCAGTTAAATATATCATTTCATCTGCAAACGAACCATTACCATATCCAAAAAAAACACTAATGTCACTGGTCGCTATGTTTGCTGTAACAATATCCAGTCGGTTATCGTTGTTGAAATCACCAACAGCTACACAGTATGGCCCACCGTCAGTTGAATGTGCTATTTGATCTGCAAACGTACCATTACCATACCCAAGAAGGACACCGACGCTATAAT